GCTAGAGGAGTATTGGGGCCCATTGTCAGACACAACAACTTGTGGTAGCCCATGTCTAGCAAATATAGACTTTAGATGATGAATTACACCCTCAGATGTTGTTGTGTTGAGCTTAGCAATCTCAATATATCGGGAGTAATAATCTATAACTAGTAGATAGTTATTTTGCTTCCACATAAACAGATCTGTTCCCACCTTTTGCCAAGGATTAGTAGGCAGCTCAGATGGGCACATAGGCTCATATTTAGGATATTGGTTTTTACAGCAAATAGTACATTTACCAACGTACGTTTCTATATCCTTTGTTATTCCTGGCCACCACACTGAGATTCTAGCTCTTTCCTTGGTCTTAACAATTCCCTGATGACCTGAGTGGAGCTGCTTTAGAACTTCCTGTTGTAAGTCCTTGGGAATAACAATACGATCTCCCTTTAAGAGTAGACCATCCTTCACCGACAGATCAGCATAGTTACTGATCTTACTATTCCTTCTCTTCCCCTCTCCAAGTATTTGATCTCTCCATGTACATAGCATTGGATCCTTCCTCTGGTGATCTCTGATTTGAATCAGGCGTTCATCTGAAGCTGGTAAATGTTGAACAATGTTATCAACATATGCTTGCACTTCTTCCTGCAGCTCATTAGATCCTGTCTCTTGGAGGGGTGATCTGGAAAGAAAATCAGCTGTGTTGAGATCTTTACCCGGGACATGAATAATGTCATACTGATACCTCATCATCCTGAGTCTGAATCTTTGAACTCGGATGGGCAAGTCTTCCAGATTCTTTGTTGATAATAGAGGAATGAGGGGTTTATGGTCTGTTTCCAAAGTGAATTTGGACCCGAGAAGATACTGGTTAAGGCGTTCACATGCGTCCTTTCAGATTGATAGAGTATACCTAACTAGATAGTACTGTATGGGTCTTGTGACAGGAGAATGTTTTGTTATTTTTTTACAATTTTATAAATTTCATGTTTTAAGATACTAAGTTATTCTGTAACTTTTGTTTTTTGCTTTAATTTTACTTGGAAGAAGTACTTAATGTGGAAGATATACACTGAAACTACTTAAATCTAATTAGTGCAATCGTAATGTATGTACATGTAGTTGTTAATGTTTAATTGGTTACCTTAATTAGTCTGACACTTACATGTTCTGTATCATACAAGCACTATGCAGCACATTCTAGACTGTTCCATGCAAGTACATTCACTATGTTTCCAGAATATTCTTATGTTACACTATATATTGGTTTGTGCAAGTCTATCAGTTAGTTCTTTTGTGTATAATAAAGTCAATTCATTGAATATAGTTGAGAAACTATATTGTTAGCTGTCATACCAAAAGTACTCATCAC